GGTACGCAACCCTCGTCGACACACTCTCAATCTTTACTACGTTGTTAACGAGAGACTTGTGGACGATAAATCCGACACCTCCTTGGGACAGATGGTAATAGAGCAAGTTGCCGGATTCGAGGATTACCGTGTCCTCCCCCTCTCTTCGGACTTCGGATAATCCTATAATATGCCAGCGTAACTTGTCTATCTCTTCTTCCAGCTCCACAATCTTCTCGTCAGTCCTCAGGGTGCGTGCGTTGTATGTTGCCAGGTCGAGTCGTCGTAGGTGGCAACCGAACCTCCACCGGAGATTCTTAGCACCCCCTGCCCCACCGTTACCATGGTCGCTACCGTAGCCAGGAATAGCGGGGCCACCGGGGACTGGGGGCCGTCTCTTCGTAACTTTCATCATTCTTATTCCATTCCCGATACTTTTAGTGCAGCCTATGTATATAGTCCTAATCCTATAAATGTTCTTTCTTCCCTATTCCTCAGACAAGAGCCCTTCGGATGACATTGTTCAAAGAACTGTGTCGTGAAAACCTACCAGCACTTTTCTTACATGAAAGTCAGTGGAGCCCAAACTTGTCGACGCTGCTACCACAGGGGCACTGATGGGGTTGACAAATCGCCGCTCCTAATCGGATTCCTACGGCGATGCACAATCTTTCCCTTTCACTTTCAGTGGAACATTTTCACCGGGACAGAGCTTTTGCCATGTCTGCCCTGCCTTCGTAGCAAAGCACGGAAGCAAGGAAAGCAGGCAATGCAAGGCTAGAAATATTTCTCACACCAATACCACCAAATTTTCTAGGTAAAGTAGCTTGAGTCCAGGCTGTTGTATTTAAAGTTAAATTTAGAATTTTTCTATAGCTGTTTTAAGATTATTATCAATATCTTTTAAAATATCTGAACATTTCCAGACTGGACTCAAGCGGAGTAAGTATGTAAATCTAGGTACAAGAAGACAATACTTTAAAAAAGTAAGAGCTATGAGGGGGTTTAATTTATACAATTTATCAACGTGGTTTAAAAACTGATCAAATTTTGTTTTTAAAACAGGTTTAATACTATCGAAAAACAATGGCGCACCTAGCAGGTATAGTGATTCCGTACCTACTGACAGTTTTATTCCTGGAGAAACATGATGGAAATTTGGAATTAAAGTGTCTCTATGAGAAATAGATAAATTATTGGAAAAAATATTTCACATTTATTGCTATTTGGTTCAAGACCAACGTTTTTAAAATTTCGAAAAATATAAGTAAGATCACTGAGGACGTCACCTGCTCTACCTCCTAATGTACCGTTGTTCAGGTACCAGACATTCAGCTTAGATTTGAAATTTGAAATAATGGGTTGAGTTCCCAAACTGAAAAGTGCTGGACCTAGTAGGTCACCCTGCTGAACACTGACAGCAGAATCGCTAACATGATTTTCGTAAAACAAGTTAGTATTTTGACTATAACATTGCCAAACGTAGTCATAAATTTCGGGGGTATTGTTCGCCACTTCTTTCAGCAAGGTTAGGGTAACCTTGCTGAAATCGAAATAGTTAAAAGCATTCCTTAATTCAACCTTCACAAGAACATCTACATCAGAGTTTATTAAAAATGTACGCACTGAATGTACCGCCGCCTCACAGCCACCTCTATTGCCAAAGCCTAGTTGAGTAGGCTGAAATATTGTCTTAAGGTTAGAGTGTATGTGCCTGCAAGCTAATTTTGAAGTTAAGCGTCGAAATGTGGAACCAACGGCAATAGGACGGATACCGTTATCCTTTTTTTGGAAGGCACATAATCTTGCCCCATATAAGAATGGAATGAAATTTGGATTAACATTACCAGAAAGAATAAAGTTACATAATTTTTTCATGTCTTTAATAAGTACTCCGCCGGCGTCATCGGCAGAAGCGCTTATAAGATCTTTAAGATGTTGAGGCATAATTCCGTCAATGCCGCCAGCAGAGTCATTCGAAAATGACATAATTGCTTCTAAAGTGTCTTTTTCAGAAATTTGTAAAGGTTGAATAGAAGTCTTGGGAGGTAGCGGTAAACCCTGAGAAGATTTGACCGAAGGATGCTTCTGACGAAGGCTTTCAAGAGTTTCGATATTACGAGGAGACAGGATGTCGTCTGAGAATAAAATACGGAATGCATTTTTTAAGTCGCCATCCATTACTTTCTACTCAACAACTTTTTTTAAATCTAATTTAGGACGTGGTCGAGATAAATGAGTATTAATTGGGAAATCTAATTCCTTAATGTAATTTTTTGTATTAGACACTGTTAAGTTATAATTATACGTGGTAGAGCCATGCTGCAGCTATATTGGTATTATAGTTGTAGCACGAAAGGGTCGCTCGCTGGAAGGACCACGCTCTCACAGAATACCAGCGTAAAATAGCAGCTTAATGCTGCTGTGTTTCGTATGGTGAGTGTAGAGAACCGGAGACCTTTTTTACTAGAAAAGAGGCATTCCATCTTCCTCACCTCATCTGCATTTTGATTCGCAAACGGGGATAGATGTAGATCTCTATGGGCCGCATCAACCACTTACCATTAGAAAGACTGTGTGCTCGGTTCTCAACCTTATCCTATAAAAAATTAGTCCTTCACCTGCTTTATTACATCACATACTTAATGTAAGTACATCATTGTTACATGTAGTGGCGGCGCAATAGAGTCCACTACCCGTATCTTATCGTGGGTGTCGTAAGAGGCAACAGAAAAAATTGAAACAGGAAATGGGCAAAAACATCTCCCTGATTACAACTTGCTTATAATGATGACTCTACATAGTATAAAACAAAAGAGATCTTTTAAACTACGCAACGGATTTTGATGTGGTTTTCATCAATAGACAGAATATGGTTTATATGTATAATACATGCAAATAATCTAATATATACAATTCTCGTGTCGCGGTGTTTGTTACCAAACTCCTCCGAAACGGCTGAACCGATTTGTATGAAATTTTGTGTGCATAACAGGTAGGTCTGAGAATTGGCCAATGTCTATTTTTCAAACCCTTGAGTGATAAGGGTGACCCACCCCTATATTTATTTTTATTTTTTTGACATTTTTTTATTTTTATTTTATTATGATTTAACATTGAAAAATACATAAAGCTTCAAATTTTCACACTTTTACGATCAAGCCGTTTTTTAACTCACGATTTTTAAAACTAAAAAATATTTCCTAGAAATAATGTATATGGCAAAACAACGTTTGCCGAGTCAGCTAGTATATTATATAATTCTTCTGTCCGTGTGTATGTTAATTAGAGAATGATTTAGATTCAAAGTTGGATCCGGTTGTTTTCGAGATCCAGAAATCAATCGTGCGAAGCCGGAGGGGATCGCTAGTTTCTCACATTTAAGCGAATACTACACGTGAAATGAAACTAATTATACTGTTTAAAACTGATTAAAATTTAAATTACGGAGAATAAATCTATAGTGGACTAATAATGTATCAGATAATATAAAAAGGTAAAGTTAACGAACAAAAGTGTTAAATTAAATTGAAAGCAAACGAATCCGCCGGAATGAGCTAGTAGTTGTTGTATAATAATTATGTAAGTATCCTTAACACATGTGATTGCTTACAACATATTCCTTTCAAATACTTGCTTACAGGATTATCAACGTTATTGCAAGTCACCTTAAGGTAGGATATGTTACTTCACTCATCTCTGATTTATTGCGTACGAAAACTCCAACAGAAAAATATTTTGAAACTTTTTCGCGCGAATTTAGTTGATATTCCTGGGGAATAAAAATGTAAATGCCATGCATTAGTTAGTAGGGATTGCACACTATGTTTACTGCGTACATGTTGTTGATAGTGCGTTGACAAAAAAAAATTCGTGTCGATAATAATTGCGATTCAACGAACGCCGTTAGCCTTGTGGGCAGAATTTTGATAGATCTGATGACTTTCCCTTGAGGGCTTATTCTGGACAGTTGACGATTGAGCTGCGATCGAACTATGAACCGAATGGTTTATTATTTTATAAAGTTCATATTACTATGATGATGATGATGATGATAATGGTTATCATGTGCCATACAATAAGGTGGCGTATGACGATCGTTTCAACTCTTTTAATCGTCAAAAATAATAAATGCGGGTAGCATTTTATTATAGAACCACGCCAAAAAAGCCCTAAAATATTCAGGCTGTTGCGAGTTAACACTAAATAGCGTATAAGATAGATACGATACGACCATAGCTACCAACCTAAACTGTTTGGTATACCATGATCGTAAGGCGCTTGCTAGCTGTAGCAAATGCAGCAACTTATTCTGATTTATGAAAGGTCAACAGTACCTCTATATTTGAGATCTAAATAATAATTGTAAGAAAGTAAGTTAAACGATAAGCTTTATAGCCAAATATATAACCATTATAGGCGTAGTAAAAACTTTCCTGCTTAAACATTTGTCCTAAGTTGGAAACCATCTGAAGGGAATATTAAATTTATTAAATTATTAATAATGCAAATTTTCATCGGGTCTTTTCTCTGAACAGGTTTACAAAGGCTACTTTAATGTTTTACACTTTAGTTTATATAAGTATTATAATATAACTATATCAAGGTAAATATATAGTAAAACTTTAGTTTATAGCTGACCGTTAAGAACCATCACCGAATTTATTTCTCCTGATGATGCCTCGCTTAGAGGCGAAACACGTGTCTTATTAGTGTAATGGTATTGGAAGTGTTTAGGTTATTGTGAAGTGGATAGTGAATGTGAGTGAGGGAGGGCAGAACTTGCTTTTAAACTAGGTAAGACACATAATTTTTATTTTTATGCAGGTATTAACTATTTTATTTTATTTTCTTTAATATAATAGATTTCCATAAAGTAATTCCTGGTTCTATTAATTGGTAAGTCATTATCCAGAATAAGTACACTATATAGTTAATTTGCATTGCATATGAAGTCTATATGAAGTGTTGAATGTACGCGGCGGTCAGTCTTCAGTGCTGTGCATACATCGACACTCATCATGAAGATTGTTATATTTGTAAGTAAAATTCTTTCTTATGTAATTAAGTCTGTACTTACATAAGTGAAGTGATAAAATTATTAGAAGAGGCATATTTTAAGGATTACTTGCTATAAAACAAATGTAATCTTTCGTCGGTGTTAGTTTTAGTGTTATGTATTAGTTTCAAGGAATGAAAGAAATTGTATACCGGTAACCTATTGATATCTATATCCATGAATTTCGTAGGAAGCGACAGAGGGAAATATAACAAATGATGGCCAGTAGCATCTTTCTGTCTCACCACTGTACGATTTAGAAGATGTTTTCTTCCTCGTACAACTTCCTTGTGAAATCGATTACAACCAGCTATTTTTCCGGACCGATACGACTAAGGGACCTTTAAGAAAAGAGCCTACTGCTTTTTAAAAGGCCGGCAACGTATCTGCAATTTCCCTGTTGTTGCCGTTGTTCATGGGCGGTTGTAGTCACTTACCATCAGGTGAGCCGCATGCTCGTTTTCCCCCTCTCCTATAAAAAAAAACTAATTAAAATAATTAAAAAAAAATGGTTGCCAACCTACCTGTCAAGCGTTGCAACTATGGCAAATATCCCTCACTACGAAACAATCTATAAGGGATGCCTATGGTCACCAGTGGAGTTTTCATAGGTTATAATGTAAACTCTTTCCAATACTGGGTACAAGCCCCCTCTTATATTAGGATAGAGCGAGATAATTCTGTCGGGCAGTTCACATGTACTGAGGACACTAAATGTCGATTTTTTTAAATTATCAGATGTACACAATTTTTCACCTATGGTTTTCTTCGAGCATGTAGTTATACAGTTGAACGCCCTGACTATCCACCACCATGGCTTTTATAGATCCGCTGATAAAGAAACAACCCCTATAATTTTGTTCTGTCTGTCCTACTGTTTTCTAGCATAACTTTTAAAATTAAACCATATTATGTAAGCAGAGAATGCAAAAATTTCCCGACTTTACATACCATAATAAGTTTTGTTTTGTTTGGTTATGAGGTTACTTTTCATACGTTTTATAAAGTGATTTTTTTTTATTTAGTCTTTAGATCATTCTATTTCTATCGAAACCATAGTATCTTAGGTAATCTTAGAATCCGAATTAATCGTAATTATACCACAAAAGGAATAAAGCACTCTGGCAGGATATAATAGGATTTCATTTACTTTAAAATTTTAGGAGTTAAGATTTGTTTTAGAATTATCATTTTTCGACCGGTGAGCGATTACGTTCTCACAATATACCAGTGTGAAATAGCAACTTAATACTGCTGTGTTTCATTACTGGTACTAAGGCATTTCATGTTAACCCTGAATGGTGACAACGCATCTGCATTCACTTACCATCATGTGGTGTGTGTAAAAGTGCATAAAAAAGCATTCTTTTGAAGAAAGGATATTATAAACTAGATGACTATTTAAAAGATAAGAATACGTGGATATAGTGAGCTTCCTTACTTTTTTAAAGCTTTTATTTGCTATCAATATTTCGCACACTTCCACTGAAGCTATCGGGCTAAAATTTGGCACACACGTTTGGTTCTCGTGACAATGCACGATTACTTAAATGCCGCATTATTAATCCAATATGGCGGACGTTACAAAATAGCAATTTATCGTTTCCACAGCAACCCCTATGATATGGGCAATGGGTATCAAATAAAAGGGCTTGATAAGCGAAACACAATAAGTAAAGTGACTTATTCTAAATCCAATACGGCGGACGTCACAAAATGGCAATTTCTTGTTTTTAGAGTATTTCAATAAAAGCTTGTTTTTAAAAATATTTGTTACTATTAATTTACTACTTATGTATATCTATATACAAATAAATAAAATTAAAGTGCCTTTTTGTAATGTCAAAATGACAGCTTTTTACTAAATGCATGAGCAAAAAAAAAGCAATTTTTTTATAGGATAGGGTGACAAACGACCACACAGACCACCTGATGGTAAGTGGTTGCTGTGACCCATAGACATCTACATCTATCCTCAATAAAGAATCAAAATGCAGATGCGTTGGCACCCGTGAGGACTAAGATGGAATGCCTCTTATCCAGTAAAAAGGGTCTCCAGTTCTCTACACTCACCGCTGCTATTTTACACTGGTATTTTGTGAGAGCTTGGTCCTTCCCCGGTGGAGCCGACCCATTCGTTCTACAACTATACTACTAATATAGCTGCAACATGGCTCTACCTGTCTGTCTATCTCTCTGTTTATTACGGTTAATCTCCGAAGTGGCTGGACTGATTTAGCTGGGACTTACGCTGACAGAAAGCTGATGTTATAAGGAGTAACTATGGCTACTTTTATTTTAGAAAAATAATTAGGGTTCTGCGCAAAAAAATTAAACTCATAAAAACAATTGTACATTTGTTCATATCCATATAGACCATAATATTATGTTCAGGCGTATTCTCTTTTTATAAAATATTTATCCTCATTATCATTAGAGCCCTTCACAAGTCCACTGCTGAACATAGGCCTCCCCCAAGGAATGCCACAAAGCGCGGTCCTGAGCCACCTGCATCCATCGACTTCCGCATGTATTACCAGATTGTCACTCCACCTAGTGAGGGCCGCCATAAATTCCGCCTACCGGTACGAGGCTGCCACTCGAGAATCTTTCTTCCCCATCGGTTGTCGGTTCTTCAAGCTGTATGGCCGTCCTATTGCCACTTTAGCTTACTAATCCGTTGGGATATGTCGGTTACTCTGGTTCTACTGCGGATATCCTCATTTCTAAGTTTATCAGGCAGAGAAACCCCGAGCATAGCCCTCTCCATAGTTCGCTGAGCGACCTTGAGCTTGAAGTACCACGTGTGAGATCCATAAGTCATGTATAAATGTCAAGTTGTACAATCTTGTGTTCAAGTTTTCCCTCTCGAACATTGCCCAGTCGAGTTGAATCCGTCGATTGACCTCTCGATTAAAGTTGAACTTACCTAGTCGGATTATTTGTCCTAGTATTATTTGTCACATACTCGTTAATAACTTCGAGCTTAGTGCTCTGAATTTAACGTCATCCTCTCTTACACCTCTCTTCATTTGGATAGGTTTCGTACTCTGGTTCTGTACTCGAATAGCAATCTTTACCCTACTGTACAAACACTTCAGCGCTTCGATATACCGACAGTCAACTTGGCAACGCTGAAGGGACTGTAGTACCACCCAAATTTCGACGACTTTCTCATAGTCCACATACACAAGGCAAAATGGCTGAATGTACTTTTCGGTCTTCTGTACAATTTGCCGAAGGGTCTGTATGTGATCAATGGTGCTAAAGCCTTTCCGAAAACCAGCTTGTTCGGGAGGCTGGATGTCGACGTGCGAGACGATTCGTAATGACTTTCGAAAACTGCAGTAGTAATCGGTCTGTTGTTCTTCAAGAGAGCATTGTCGTTTTTCTTTAAGAACAAGGCCACCGCACTTCTGTTTTACGCCTCCGGAGTAGTCCCACCGTGGAGGACGGAATTAAAGAGCTTCTGAAGTACTGCAAGTAGTGGTTTCCCACCCGCTTTCAGAAGCTCCGTTGTAATTCTATCCTAGCAAACGGCAATGCCCCGGGCCTTGCCGTTTTTAAGATGCTGTAGAGCCTATAGAGATCATCGGAATAGTGTCGGATAAGACTAGATCTTGGATCGTTACTCACACTTGCATGTGGGTCCAACGATGACGCGTATAGCTGCCTATAGAAACTCAATCTCACCCAAATATTCGGTGTTCCGGAAACGATGCTGTCACATTCAGTCTTCAGTTTGGACAGTTGGCTTTTTCTGGCAGACAGATCTCTGCCAAAGATTTTGAGTCCCTGGTTCCGTTCGATCGCTTCTTCAATACGAGCTATTGAAGTTGTGTAAGTCCCGCCACATGCATTTGGAGATCTGTCTGTTCGGTAGCCTGTATGCTATCAAATCTGCTGAAGACTGCAGCTTCATTTCCCCACATTTTTATTTTATAACGAGTACACAAAGCATTTAAGTATAATAATTTTTAATATACAGGTACTTACTTAAAACGTTACAGTAGAATATTAAGTACCTACCTAAACAGGCAACCAAAAATCTACGAGGTAGAGCCATGCTGCAGCTATATTATGGTTGTAGCACGAATGGGTCGGCTCGAACGGGGAAGGACCACGCTCTCACAGAAAACCAGCGTAAAATAGCAGCTTAATGCTGCTGTGTTTTGTATGGTGAGTGTAGAGAACCGAAGACCCTTTTTACTGGCAAAGAGGCATTCCATCTTAGTCCTCACGGGTGACAACGCATCTGCTTCTTGAGTCTTTATTGAGGATAGATGTAGATGCCTATGGGCCAAAGTAACCACTTACCATCAGGTGGACTGTGTGCTCATTTGTCACCCGATCCTATAAAAAAAAAACCGGTAGCGTCCATCAGTACTTTTTTCTTTTCTTCCTTTTTATGTATTTTCTTTAGCGTGCAGTCTTTTCGGCCTGTTTTTTCGAGTGAAAAAATAATCTATCCAAGAAAGTTTTCCTGCGCATGAATGTTTATTTTGTTATTAATTCTTCAGTTTGTTTTTATTAAGCACGCTTTTATTAACTTGACCTGTATGTATGTACGTATGAATGTTATATAATATGTGTATTATTTATCTATGAATGATTTTAATAACACTTCTATTTTACAGATTGCGCTTCTCTTCGTTGCAAGAGCATCAACATCCAAAGCCGCACTAAAACAAATATCAGATAAGGTGGTGACACACATTAAAACGTTGACAGATAAGGCCGCGTCCACAATACACAAGTTGGCAGAGGATATCGACTTCAAGAAACTGGAAAAATTGGATTTCTTGCATCTCTTCACAAAGAAACTCGGGAAAAAACACCATGAACAAGAAGTGTTTATGATTGATCCATATCAAGTTGATAGATTAAAATACTATTTTGAGCATACGCACGGTTTGAAGAAACCTGTAGGTCCACATGGGAGCCCACATCTAGAGTATGGACCACCACATTGATCAAACAGTGTTAAAAGAATAATAAGACTTATTACATTCTCAATAAGGTCGGAATTGCCGTATATGTGTGTGTTAAGTTTTTATCCAGTTATTACTAAGCTGTTATGTTTACTATCGGATTTAAGAACGTGTATTTTTTAACATGCAAATACGCTGTTAGATGCCATCAAAGCCTTTACAACTTTTCTTCTGTAGACGGCTATATGGAGATATTATTGTAGTGTAGATCTTTTATATTTTTTGAATCCTATAAATTTTTGTCATCGCAACTCTAAATACTTTAGATGTCCGAGATTTTTAAATTACGAAAGCGATATATTACATATTTTTTTTAAATCGACGAGGCATTGAAATATACAATTTATTCTTTAAACAGCAGATTGCTTGCTGTAAACTCTAAGAGCAGATTAGTGTTAGTATTTATCGCATCAGAACGATATCTGACGTCATAAATGTAACCTAATAATTCTAAATTTTTTTTTTAAATATTGTCCTTGATTTAATTACAAATAGCGGTTCGATATCATCATATTTTCCTGATCACGATCAATTCTATCTTTTCGATTTCAAATATTCAAAAACCGGAGCTTTCAAGAGCGGGAACAGACATGGAAATAGTCATAATAACATCATAGATTCCCATGTTACGATGCGCAGCTAGTTGTTAGCTTCGGCAATTTTTCTTAATTTCATAATATGACAATTGAGCGAGAATTTACACACAACCAATGCTTTGTTACAAATTAAATTATTCGTAACAAATGCCTGTGAAAAATCTTACTCCTCTATCAACTATTGTTATATATTGAATCCAGCTAGGCTAACATGTAAAAGAAATTTCGACGCCCCTGGCTAGATGGAACGATAATTTGCGCAAAACGGATGATAGCAAATAGACTGATAGATCGTTACCATAAAATTATCGTCAACGTGCAGTCTCCAAAAGCATGACACGTCACTGATCGGCTGACACAGTTTTTCAAGCTGGTTTTTCTATTTAATATTTTCGACACTCACGAGGCAAGCTATATCATTACTATATACTACGTATTACAAGTCCACTGACATAGCCCTCCCTTATGATTTGCCACAAAGTGTGGCCCTGAGCAAACTGCATCCATCGACTGCCTGCGTGTTTCATCTTTTAACTTTGTATTGCCAACATACCTTTAAAATGGTGAAGGTATGTCGGTATAAAGTAAAATACTATTGATTTCTTTATATTTAAGGGGACAAAGGGCAGCAGTCATTTGTCACCTTGCTGACATAAAAAAAAACTTTAATTGTAAAATGTCGTTGCTTAAACACATTGTCGGATTGTTTTGAAAATATTGCTTCTTCAACGTCGATTATTTTAAATTACCACGTAGAAAAATGTCAAGCGTGCCGTGTGAAATTCTATTGTATAGAAATGAAACAAAAGACAAAGACCTTCGATCGATGAGTTCAGTTTTTTTTTTTATTTAAATAATACTGGCCTTCAGTACGTTGAATATTTTCTTTTTAATTAACACTTTTTAAAGAATACTGTCAACCTATATCTGATTATAGCAATATAAAATATGTATGCGTAAAACCAAATTGTAAACGAGGCTATTAAGAGGTAGTATATTCTAAGTAAGATCTAAGCAGCGTATTGATAAATTAAAAATAAATATAAATGACGATGATTATTTGTGAAAAAATATAAAATGTTATAAACGCAGCCAAAATTAGATTGTACAAATAAACGACTGAATAATTTGTGAAAATTTAATGAATGCAAGGTTTTTGTTAATAAAACAAATTTTGAAAATATCGTTATTTATTTCACTGTTTTATAAATATAAAAACGACATAATTATTATATTATTTGGTATCTACTAGACTTAAAATTTTATAAATATTAGATAGTCCTGTTATTTTTTGTATGCAGATGATTTATTAGCGCTTTTCAGTAGGTTACTTATTTCGTAGCAAAATTTGGGGTTCTAATTTTTGACCTTTCATTTTGACATCGGTTTTAAACGTTTTGGATGATCTGTTTCACTACATCCGTTAAAAAAGGAAGTGTCAGTGCTGTGACAGGTGTCATAACATATGAGCATACAAAACTATCTAATAGATTATCATTACAGTTAAAGTTACAGCCTATATACATATATATGTCCGAAGGCTGGGCACAGACCTCCTCTCATTTCTGAGGGTTTTAGGGCAAGAAAATGTCCGCCGCCGCCCCAATGTGTGTTGGTGAACTTTACATGTCTTCGAATTTTTTTTTCTTATTTCTCAGTCATGCAGGTTTCCTCACGATGTTTCCTTCACCACCGAGTATGTTGTAAATCAGCACTTAAAATTGCAATTGACAATTTCATTAGTGACGGCGGGATCAAACTATCTCTTTAATCTATACATAATTGTAATATAACGTTATCAATAAATAACACAGAAGATATATTTCATTATACAAATAAAAAACACAATGGGACTAATTCCCGATATTCAATTCGCTCATTAATTTATCGAAGACATCCTCTGCTCCATTATCGCTGTCCTTCTGTGTAAAATCTCCCATAAAACCATTCTGGAAGTCACCAAAATCATCTGACCGCGGGTTTGTATCGATCAAACCAAGTTCTGTCAAAAGTGACAGGTTGTCAGATTCGGTTTTGACGTTGCTGTCAAAGGTGTCAGCTGCCAGTCCAGGTAATAGTTGTTCGCACGAGTCGGCGTCATCTTTGTCTTTACTCTGCCTCCTGTTGAGGACTTTCGTGTCTTTCTCTTCATCAGAAGCATCATGGTACTCTTGCATTTCTTTACCGTATTCTATATCGTCGTCATCTTGATTATCCTGCCAGATTGAATATGCAAGTTAGGTTGGAGGTTAGAAAACGTATACGTAGTATATACGTTGTAGAGCCATGTTAGATGCAGCTTTTTAACAGTGGTAGAGCCACACGGCGGCTTTTGCTGTCGCACGCATGGGCCGGCTCGAACCGGGGTGGTACCACGACCTCACAGAATACCAACGTGAAGTAGAGGTTTACCTCTGCGTTTCGCTTGTTGAGTGCAGGTGGCCGGAGGCCCTTTTTACTGGAAATAAGGCATTCCATCTTAGTCCTCACGGGTGACAACGCATCTGCATTTTGATTCGCAAACGAGGATAGATGTAGATGTCTATGGGCCGCAGCAACCACTTACCATCAGGTGGACTGTGTGCTCGTTTGTCACCCTTATCTTATAAAAAAAAAGCTATATTATGGTTGTAGCAAGAATGGGTCGGCTCTACCGGGGTAAGGCCACATACTCAGAGAATACCAGCGTAAATAGCAGCTTAACGCTGCTGTGTTTTGTATGGTGAGTGTGGAGAACCGGAGACCCTTTTTACTGGCAAAGAGGCATTCCATCTTAGCCCTCAGGGGTTGACAACGTATCTGCATTTTGATTATTAATCGAGGATAAATGTAGATGTCTATAGGCCACAGTATCCACTTAGCATCACATGGACTGTGTGCTCGTTTATCAACAATACTCTATAACCACTATAAGCCTGTCCTGTGCAGATGCCTAGTGTCTATTGAGACTGGCCGCAGAGACCAAAATTCGTTCTGGATCACATAATTATTATAATTTATTATTAATATTTATTCTTTAATTTGAAAACGAACGAGTGAAGTCCGTCGACACACATTGACAGTGTTTTGCAGCGTTGGCTGTGGGCTCTTCTCTGTTCCAAAATCTCATTTCAGAGAGGATGCTCGTTGGAACTTGTGTTTTTTCTTCAACCGACTTCAAAAAATGGAGAAGGTTCTAAATTCGACTGTATTTTTTAAGTGAACCAATTTTGATGATTCTTTTGGTATTTAGAAAAGCTGGTACTACTCATGTGGTCCCATATAAATTTGATCAAGATCTGACTAGTAATTGCGTCAATTAAGTTCGACTACATTGATGATGTTTTCATTTTATTTATATTGAAGTTGGTTGTACAAATTGTTATTTTTATTACTTTTTATAATAGTATATTATGTTGAGCAGCGGCTAAATTGGGTAAGGTTACCATAATTCACAAATAATTGGTAAAAACACAACAATTGAAACCATTGGGGCGCTTATACGTTTTACACTACTTTGCTCCTACAAGTTTTAAATGATTATTTTCCTTTTTAAATTCAAACATAATTCATAAGTAATTAAGGACGATGGGGAGGACTATTAATAGACCACATGACCTTATAAAAATTTATATTTTTGTTTGGTTTAATATGCTTATAAGATTTCATTGACATCTAAACTCAATTGAGAGCGTCATCTTACCTGAATTATCTGGGCGGTTGATTTGTACTGGAAGGCATTCTGCGATAAGTCCACTTCTACAGGAAACAGCGAGGCGTTCTCTTTCAGATGCTCCACAGTTTCACTGTAGATATAAACTTAAATGGGTGAAACGTTAATTATAAGTAGCGGCACAAAAGTCTAGCGGTGAACGTTATTGCACATAAGTCGCGCTGATTGGCTTATTGCGTTTAAGTCACGGTGATTGGCTCGTGTGTATCGTTCGCTTGCGCTGATTGGCTCTCCAGTCGCATTCGTGCAATTCAATTCGTGCGCGTCCCCTCCACGTTTCGTTCAGCGCTAGACTTATGTGCCGCGAAGTGTACGTATACTGAAGATCATATGATGATAGCTGACACGAGTTTTCTTTAAGTACCTATTTGCCATCGTTTAGCTAAGCTCTGATTTACTGAAATCAAAACAATGTGCGACTAAACCATCTTCGGAGCGAGACAGATAAGAAAGTTTTCCCCCGTAAAGTTTGACGCCCGTAGGGGGTTGACGCATTCCTCAATTAAACCCGCCTTGTCTTTAATCTATATTGTTCAAAGATAAAACGCAGTTTTAATTTTTGAACAACATACAGTAAAGACAAGGCCGTAAAAATAAATTCAAACGATTTCGAATTGAACATTTTTGATTGTTTTAACTTGTTTTCATTCTGCCGCGGAAAAAGTAGTAGATAATAGATATTAAAAAGTTTGATGGAGTGTGATTTTTTTTAATCTCTTTTGATATAATATTGTATTGTTAAGCAAATAAAACAAATACCGTTTTATATAATGGCTTAATTTTATAATCCTTATACTTTATGTACAAGAAATCGGTAAACTTATGTCACGCAAATTTGAAATTAGATTGATTGATAATATTATAAAAATAGAATTTCATATTTATAAAGAAGAATCAAATATCTTAATTCATTACGAATCGATGCTTATACTAAGTAATAAGTATCTGTTTATATAAGAATCAAAAGTAAAAAGCATCGATCACTAATAAAAAACTAGATACACAATCAGTGACAAAAAATGGCATAACCGAAAGTGCACCCACTCGAACATATTGCTGCACTTTTAATCTAGTAGCATTCGAATTTCAGTATATAAAAAGTACTCTGTGATTCGAATGCTCCGACGGTAAACATGCCTCAAAGCTCGTTTAAAAAGTGTAAAAATCACAAATCCAGAACGCTAAAAAAGGATGGAATTTCATATTTTCGTTAAGTATTAATGTTAACATTATTTAATTGTTATATCTGTATTGTAAATACTGATATTTTGTCAAGAAATCATCTTAAAAGTATTTTTTAAATTAAGTCGTAATAAAATAAGTCGTTATTGTACGAGGTATATGTGTTGATTCTATTCCATTTGTGGAAACGCTATTGTTTTTATTAATTTTTTTATTATTAAAGTATGATTGTTTTTTTTTTGTTTAATGAGAGTTCTTTACTGTTTCTCTAACTATTATAGTACTCGAAACGTCGGGAATATAAAATAAGTTAATATACGCGATAAAATCCGTAAATAATCCGTAGTGAACGCGTAAATATAAGAAATCATTATAATTATTCAGTCTTATCGGTTTTTTTTAAACATCTGTAAATATGAAAATTAGGTACGTCAAAATTTGGACAGTAATATTCTTAGATTTTGCAAGAACTTTCTGTACTTACTTTTTATATTTAGTAACTATTATATTTAGATTTAACTTGTTTGTCAAGCAATATTTTTAAATTTTTTACACAAGATAAAGAATAAATAAATAATTATGACTGTTTCAATTACTTTCATTACTAAATGAATGTGGTGCCCTATCCAAAAGCATATTTACATATAACCATTACACATATACACCATAGAATAGAATAGAATATGCTGTATTAAGTAGACCAATTATTTAAAACAAGTTTTAAAAAATTATAAAATTAAAATTACAGTAACAAAAAATATTGTGTAGTTCGACTCCACTCTCCTTGTCCAAGCGACGAGCCTCGGTCGTACAATTTTATTGCTTTTTGTACGTTGCTTTGTCAATACAACTTTAGGCCTTTCACTTAATGTTGAATTTACATTAATGTATATTTATATCAACTAGAATTACGTCAAAACATTTGGCGACAGTTTTTAGAGAACTTTTGTATGGGATTGTGCATCTAGTTTTTTATTAATGATCGATGGTAAAAAGATATAACTGTTTACATTAGTGCCTACCGGTACGCGCGACCTCCCGAAAGCCACCTGACACTTGAAGCGTAAAAACATTTATCAGTCGGGCATATGAGAGGATAAACCATCATACTTGTGATATACGGCCAGTCCCTGAATAAACCTCTTGAGCTGATAGGCGACGTCTTGAGTTTTTTTGTTATCGAGTAATTCCAACTTGACTTGCACATCCGATCTCAAGCGTGCGAACCTCGCCCTCGCTTCTTGACGGCAGCGAAGAATTAATCTAAATAAAAAAATACATTACTGGAAAAAAGTTTTGTCAGTAAAGTTGTTTTGAAAAAAAAATATGTTGTACGTGATAGAGCTACGCTGCAGCTACATGATTGTAGCACGAATGGGTCGGCTCGACCGGGGTAGGACCATGCAATCACAGAATACCAGTGTAAACTAGCAGTTTTACGCTGCTGTGTTTCGTATGGTGACTGTAGAGAACAGGAGGATCTTTTATTGATAACAAGGCATTCCATCTCAGTCCTCAGATGAGAAAACGCATCTGCATTTTGATTCTTAATCGGGGATAGATGTAGATGTGTATGGACCACAGCATTTACTACTATATATATATATATATATATATATATATATATATATATATATATATATATGTACTATTGTATAATCCATCTATCGGAGATCATCGTATCTTCCCGGGGCTCATCAATGAGGCCTATACGACTTTTTCTGCCCCCAGGGACTTTTTGTACCACTTAGAAATGAGTTGAAATAAGTGACAGATTTCATAGCTGAGGGAGGTTATTTGTCAGATAATTGTAGAAATTAATGTTTCTTTCTGAAATTTTAGTTACTTATACTTTATATTATTGGAATTATGATGGATAAACCAAACTACAGGTACTTACACCTAAGAGAAGAATATATTTTTTAATTGTGTAAAAATTAAAGAACATAGCAATGAGGCATTGTTTTCTGTATATACATATATACACTAGAAACCGAAAAACTTATAATTAAATCGCAACTTTTCAATGATAATGACAGTGTGTGATCATTTGCGTAACAAATAAGTAAACATTAGTCCCAACTAGCGACATCTGGTGAGCGTAAGTTTATGAGCCCTCATTAGAGAGACTCATGTTTTGTGGCGACTAGGAACTGATAAAGAAAGAAGAAAGAAACAAGATGTAAGTGAAATAAAATTACCTATACTCGTAATTCCCGGTTTCTACTCTGTAAAGAGGTTCCTGTATTGCATTGTATCCAAACTCCTCATCATCCATCTCTTTCACTTTAAGACAGTAAGACAGGTATTCAAACTTTGTATCGGCATACTTCCGTATCGTCAGCTTCGTGTCGGGAATGGCTTTGTTCAGGTACGTCCCCATGTCAGAAAGTATCTGGATAGAAAATCTATTGAGATGAAATGAAATCGAAACTTTATTTTTTAACGTGTGAAACTCAATTCATTCAGTTAATTTGCAGTTTCTGTTTAAGAATATCCACTACCCCATATAGTCCCGTGGGTTTTGAAACGCGACAGAAGGAAACAAACAAGGAAATGGGCAGCAGTGTCTTGTTCATCTTCTATATAAGCGAAATACCACTGACTGACTCATCACTAGATCTCTAAAACTATGCACCACATTGACTTGAAATTTAGCATAGTTTTTTTTTTATAGAATAAGGGTGACAAACGAACACACAGTCCACCTGATGGTAAGTGGTTGCTGCGACCCATAGACATCTACATCTATCTTCGTTTGCAAATTAAAATGTAGATGTATTGTCAGCCGTGAGGACTAAGATAGAATGCCTCTTTTCTAGTAGTAAAGTGAGTCTCCGGTTCTCTACACTCACCACACAAAACACAGCAGCATTAAGCTGCTATTTTACGCTGGTATTCTGTGAGAGCGTGGTCCTTCCTCGGTCGAGCCGACCCATTCGTGCTACAACTATATTATCAATATAGCTGCAGCATATCTCTATCACATAATCAGTTATAGTTACTCATTTCGCAATATAGATGCTCACTGAGAACGGAATTTACTATAGTCACATAAAAAAATCTTGACGTTTTACATCTAGGTTCCGCAATAAAATATTATCGTGCGCCCAGCGAAGCGAGCGATATGGCAACAATGGCAAATATTTCTTCTATGAGGCAGTCTATGGTGGAGGTCTATGTTCAGCAATGGCATTTTGTTATGTTGTAAGAGTATTGGTAAAAGGCTGTGAGTCATTACATCTTAGTTATCCGTCTTTGTTCAAAGTTGGTTGCAGATGTCCATGAACTGCAGCAAGCCCCTTACCAGGCGTTGGCAGGCGTGTTGGCAAATCACAGTTTCTCTTATTATTATCTATACATACATACAATACATATACATACAAGTTTGAAGTGTCCGTTTGTAATGTCAAAATAACAGCTTTTTACTAAATTCATATGAAAGTACTCGTATCGCGGTGGTAGAGCCACGCAGCAGTTTTTGCTGTTGCATGTATGGGCCGGCTCGAGCCGGGTTGGTACCACGACCTCACAGAATACCGGCGTGAAGTAGAAGCTTTGCTTCTGCGTTTCGTCTGGTGAATGCAGGTGGCCGGAGGCCCAATTCCCCCCCCCCCCCCCCCCCATCAAAATGGTAGCGGAATTACACGAAGAACTACCCCAGGAGGGTACCAGCACCCCTGGAGAATCCCTCGCTGAGCATCCACGACCATGTTATTCCGATCCTGAGCGTGGGTGCTCAGGCTGCCCCGCGTATTCTGGGGGGGGGGGCAAAATTCCGCTCAAAAGCATTACTGCTAGGCAAGAACACCAAGGCGACCCCTGCCACGCTATCCGTGAATTTCTGCAACATCAGGGGACTTCACTCTAACCTAAACGCCGTCCACTACCATCTCGAGACGGCGAAGCCGGCCTTGCTCTTTCTGACCGAGACGCAGGTTTCCTCTCCGGCTGATATTTCGTATCTCTCCTACCCGGGGTACAAATTGGAGCATTCCTTTGTGCCTCGGGCTGGAGTTTGCGTGTATGTCAGAGAGGACATCTGTTCTCGACGCCTCGGCAGTCTTGAAGGTTCGGACCTGTCCATCCTTTGGCTACGCGTAGACAGCGACGACCATCCGCGCGTCTACGGGTGCCTCTATAGGTCCCATAGCGGTAATGCCGAAACAGACCGACTCATCGACCACGTCCAAATGGCTACAGATTTCTTGCTACAACAGGTCCCATCCGCAGAGATCGTGATCCTTGGCGATTTTAACGCCCACCATGCCAAATGGCTCGGTTCACGTCTAACCGATCATGCGGGGAGATCTGTTTATGACTTTGCCTTGGCATATGGTCTGACACAACTGGTTACTTCGCCTACGCGGATTCCAGATGTGGAGGATCATACACCTTCCCTGTTGGACCTTCTGCTGACCTCTCATCCGGACGGATATCTGGTTTCCGTCGATGCCCCTCTCGGCTCTTCGGACCATTGTCTGATCCGGAGTGTGGTGCCACTCACGCTCCCTTCGCGGTTGCGTTCTGCAGGTTGCCGCCGTGTTTGGCATTACAGGTCGGCGGATTGGGACGGAATGCGGTCCTTCTTTGCATCCTACCCATGGGGGCGGGTTTGCTTCTCGCCGGATGATCCCAGCGCTGTTGCTGACTCTGTCACTGATGTGATGCTACAGGGAATGGAACTATTTATTCCATCATCTGTGGTACCCATCGGAGGCAGATCTCAGCCTTGGTTTGGTCGCTCCTGTAAGACTGCATTACGCAGTAAGCAGGAGTGTTATCAAGCCTGGGCTGCGGCTTCGGGGACTCGGGATGTAAATACCAGCACACTTAAAAAGAAGTATAACTTCGCCTCCAGGTCCTTCAAAAGAGTTATTGCCAAGGCAAAGTCAGAGCACATAGGCAGAATTGGCGAGAAACTAGTTCGCCTTCCTTCGGGAACCCGTGCATTCTGGTCTCTCGCCAAGGCTGTCCAAGGGAATTTCTGTAAGCCATCACTACCATCTCTGCACAGGGAGGATGACTCACTGGCCCATGACGCAAAAGACAAAGCCGACCTTTTAGGCTCCCTTTTTGCGTCCAACTCGACTCTTGATGACGGGGGGAAAACACCGCCGACCATCCCGCGGTGTGAGTGCTCCATGCCGGATGTGCTGTTCTCACAGCGCTCGGTTCGCAAAGCACTGCTCTTCCTGGACATCCAGAAGTCGAGTGGGCCTGACGGAATCCCCCCAATTGTGCTGAGGACGTGTGCTCCGGAGTTGGCACCGGTCCTAACGCGTCTTTTCCGGTACTCCTACTCCCAAGGCGTAGTCCCGAATTCATGGAAGACAGCTTTTGTCCACCCGATCCCTAAAAAAGGCGACCGCTCAGACCCATCCAACTATAGGCCTATCGCGATCACCTCCTTGTTCTCCAAAATAATGGAATCTATTATTAACTGCCAGCTCATCCAGTACCATGAGGATCACCAGCTGATTAGTGACCGCCAATACGGTTTTCGTCGGGGTCGATCAGCTGGTGATCTTCTGGTCTACCTGACCCATAGATGGGCGGAGGCAGTAGAGTCCAAGGGGGAGGCGTTGGCCGTTAGTCTGGACATTGCGAAGGCCTTCGATCGGGTTTGGCACAAAGCGCTTCTTTCGAAGCTCCCTTCCTATGGGCTTCCCGAGAAATTGTGCAATTGGATCACCAGCTTCCTTGCAGATCGGAGCATCAAGGTCGTTGTAGACGGTGCATGCTCTGACTACAAGCCTATTAACGCTGGTGTTCCACAAGGCTGTGTGCTATCACCAACGCTGTTTCTTCTGCATATCAATGATATGTTGCTAACTGGTAACATTCATTGCTATGCGGATGACAGCACTGGTGATGCTCTATACACCGGCCGTGCCAATATTTCTCGGGAAAACGTCGCTGAGTACCGGAACAAACTTGTGTCTGAAGTCGAGTCTTTGCTGAACAAAGTCTCGGATTGGGGGCGACTAAATCTAGTCCAGTTTAATCCTCAGAAGACACAAGTTTGCGCGTTTACCGCTAAAAAGAACCCCTTTGTCGTATCTCCTCAGTTTCAAGGCACTCCCCTTCTTGCCTCAGCCAGTATCGGTATCCTCGGAGTCGACATATCGAGTGACGTGCAGTTTCGTGGTCACTTGGAAGGGAAGGCCAAATTGGCCTCTAAAAAGCTTGGCGTGCTCAGCAGAGCGGGACAGTATTTCATGCCGGCACACCGCCTGCTACTTTACAAGGCGCAAGTTCGGCCTCACATGGAATACTGTTCCCATCTCTGGGCAGGGGCTCCCCAGTGCCAGCTCCTTCCACTTGACCGCATCCAACGCAGAGCGGCTCGAATTGTCGACGACCGAGCCCTTTCCGATCGGCTCGATTCATTGGCACTGCGAAGAGATGTTGCATCCTTTTGCATTTTTTTTCGCATCTACCATGGGGAGTGCTCTGAGGAATTGTTCGGATTAATCCCAGCCGCCAAATTTCACGAACGCACATCGCGGCAGAACTCCCGATACCATCCACACCATCTGGATGATTGGCGGTCCACCACTGTGCGATTTAGAAGATGTTTTCTTCCTCGCACGACCTCCTTGTGGAATCGATTACCATCAGCGATTTTTCCGGACCGATACGACTTAGGGACCTTCAAGAAAAGAGCGTACTCCTTTTTAAAAGGCCGGCAACGCATCTGCGATTCCCCTGGTGTTGCAGTTGTTCATGGGCGGCGGTAGTCACTTACCATCAGGTGAGCCGCATGCTCGTTTGCCCCCTCTCCTATAAAAAAATATATATATATACGGTACTTATAACAAATTTACAATTTTTTAAAATCTTGTCTGTCTGTCTGTCTGTCTATCTGTCTGTTTGTTCCGGGTAATCTCCGAAACAGCTAGACTGATTCTGACGGGACGTTCACTGGCAGATAACTGATGTAAGAAGGAGTTTAACTTATCTTTACTTAGCTTTAATTTAGGTTACTTTTATTTTAGAAAAATAATTAGGGTTCCGCGCAAGAAAATGAAAACGCATGATATCCAATCGTTATATCCCACGCGGGTGAAGTCGCGGGGAACAGCTAGTTGAGTTATAAGATAGATTGCTGCTGTCCATCTCCCGGTTCGTTTACCTTTGTCGTCTCTTACGACACCCACGGGACGATGTAGAGTAGCCGATTCTCTGAGTCCACTACTTCACGGAGATTTTTATCTACTACTTATAAATAAGAGAGTTTATTATGACGTATTATAAATATAGAATTGGTAGCTCAGGGGTCAAGCGCTCGCAGTAAAATACACAGTATGCGATTACCCCGCGTTCGATCCCCATCGGCAACAATCAAATTGTTAATTTCAACTTTAAATGCTGATTTAGCACGTGTTCAGTGGCGAAGGAGGAAAACTGCATGTTTAGGGATAAAATATATCAAAGATATTTTCATAAAAAAGTATTTAATAAAAATGAATTATTTAGTTCAGCGATGAACTCTTACGCGATGTCGAAGATGACCGATAGACTAGTTTCATCCGATATCTAAGGAAGAAAGACCAAAATCTTACCGGTTTCAAGGTCTTCAGCATTTTAATGCCATCTCTCCCTAGAGATCTATGGTATTCGCCAAATTTTGTGAAAGCTTCCGATGCCCTGGCTTGGGGTTCCCTCACTCCGATGGCTGCGAAAACGTCGCCTAAAGATTTGTAAGTTTGGAGAAGGTCGAAGTAAGACTTTAACATTCTGAAAAAAAAAAGAGTTTAAGGCTTAAAAGGGCGTGGGTAAGTTTTGGTCTATTATCGCTATTTATTTTTCATTTGGTTGTTCACTTAGTGTATATTAGCTGTTCCCGGCGATTTAACCCGTGTGGATTTTTTTGCGCGGAACCCTAAATTAAAAGTAACGAGTTGAATGTAAATTCAAGAAAAACAACTTCCTTCTGCGTGAATCCCATATCTCTGGTGCCCTTTGACCTACAGGACCCAAATTCAAACTCGACCGAGCTACTACCTCAAGGTATCCACATACCAAATTTAAAGTCAATCGGTCCAGTGGAACGGAAGTTATCGTGTCGGCATACAGACTAACAGACTGCCAGCTAAAACCAATTAACTTCCTTTCAATGCTACGCAGAAGGAAGTTAATAAGTGACTCCTTATAACATCAGCTATCTGTCAGTGAAAGTACGATCCAAATTGGTTCACAGGTTTTTGCGTGATGCATGTTTAGACAGGCGTCGTATTATGAACCGGGAGAAGACAAAATTACTACTTTATGCTATTATAAACCTGAGAAAATTAAGTTTTTTAATTAAAAACTTAGACTGATTTAGTTTTATGATAAAATCAATGTCGGTTGCTATTTCTCTAAATAAATAAAACAATTAAGTAGATAACCTAACCTAAGCTTAAATGTTATCATAAATCTAAACAAGTTGAAGTGTTTGATAAAAAACCAAGATTTTTACAGGTTAATGATAAGATTAATACGCATGTCTTCTTACTGTTTTTGATCAAAAGCCAAGGTTTTTGATCATAAACCTGATTTTACCTTAATTTTGTGACATATATAAGCTATGTTATATATAAGCATATATATAAGCATAAGCTATGGTTATGTATATAGTAAGGTTTCTCATTATAAGTTGCTTCCAACCACCTTAAAAAGGAAGTTCCCAATTTGTATTTATTTGTATGTGTATTACGCGACGTTTTCGTCAATTGTAAACCGAATTTAATTAACAAAATCAGAACCGTAATGATCCAAGTGCACTTTTGTCGCTTAGATCAGTATAGCAAGATAGGATTTTTCAAATTCCAATAATTCAAAAGTAAAAGATTTAAATTTTTCAAGGAAATTAATACAACAATGCCCTTGGATCAGTGTGGCAGGGAAGAATTATTTGATCTTCGTAGCTACATACCAAAATCACTATTTTGAGAAAATGACACTCGGATCACTATGGTTCTACCATCGTCAATTTTTCTATATTAATTTATTAAATAAAAAATGCGTGAGTGTCTTGGAACACTCGTTTAGAACGAAGTTCCTTGAGTAGTATATTATTATTGATAAACGTAGGTATTATAATATTATTGATTAACAAATACAAATAAATGAATTACTAGCTTCTATTAAAGTGCAGCGTCGAATAAAATAATATTTCCTTCATGGCAAGATAAAAAAACGTGCGAGGGAGATGGATATTATTCCATCTCACTTCCTTATTTCGCCGCCAAGGCCGTACTACTATGACGCAAGGGGTAGTGACAAAGAAATCTTACACTTTTTGTCGCCTAGCTCCCATCCGCCAAACCCGTACCGTCCGATAAAAAATTTCGTTCCCAAAGACGTTTCCAATAATAAGTAATCTACCATGACTGCTGATGTTTGTCACGTGGGTGTCGTGAGAGGCGACAGAGGGAAACAAATCATTAGAAGGCGAAGACTTCCCAACAACGACTAGGGGATATTTTCCATAGTTTATTGTTGTTTTACGTATATTGGCAGGTACGTTACATACTAACCGTAGTTTTTGATTATTTTGATTAGTTCAACGCCAAATTCTCTTTTAAACTTTATTATTAAAATATTGAATATTTGTACAAGGAGGGAAATCCAAGACTTTTTCCGCCACCAGGGCAGTAAAGATGAGACGTATTTGCGCTACCAGGTTTTAAAACCAGGTATTCACTTCAAAGTACGGCGCCCTGGTACGAGCAAAAAATACTTGCAAGTATGAAAATACTTGCATAGGAAAATTATCCATATCTCAATAGTAGTAAGGAACTCAATCGTATTTGTGAACGAAAAATACTTAGAACTTCAAAGTATTTTTTTTATGTATACGACTTTGCTCCTTATTCATAGTAGGATAACATGGAATACGGGTGAAATTCCTATGCAAGTATTTTCAAATTTTGACACCACGGCTGGACACGTCCCTCGCGTCGCAAAGAGACGTATTTACGCTACCAGGTTTTAACTTTAAAGTACGGCGCCCTTTTACGACCAAAAAATACTTGCAAGTATGAGAATACTTGCATAGGAAAATGATCCATATCTAAATACTAATAAGAAACTCAATCGTATTTGTGAATGAAAAATACTTTGAACTTCAAAGTATTTTTTTATTTATACGACTTTGCTCCTTAGTCATAATAGCCTAACATGGAAAGCGGGTCGAATTCCTATGCAAGTATTCTTCCTTATATATTACTATACTCTTTGCAAGTATTTTCAAACTGACACCGCGGCTGGACACGTCGCGTAAGTACCTAGTAAGTAATAAGAATTATGTTTATATTCGAGAAAGTAAAAGTTTTGTTTCGATTTCTTGTAAATTCAATTGTTATTGTGAACTAATTACGTAACCTACTGACCGTAACCTCATTTTAAATAGTTATTGCGCGTGTATATTGAACATAGAGACAGTTTTAAAACTTTTATTTATTAAGAGTCCTAAGCCGAAAAGTAGGAAGGAAAGATTTCATTTATTTACCAAAAAAAAATTAAAAAAAGTTCAGTATAAATTTTTGCCCGAATCAAATTAGGCATTCATATATATATATATATATATATATATTGCCATTAACAAATACTTTCAAGTATTTTTAAAACCTGGTTTTCGACCCTTGTATTTTTCCATACTCGTACTTAGAAGCCCTGGTATTAAATTTTACAAGTATGTCTCATCTCTACAGGGCAGCGCCACTTAAAAGTTAGGTATAATATTTGACAGATTTCATAGCGGGAAAGTTAATTTGTTCGGAAAATGTAAAGTTTAATATTCATTTTTGTACTATTAGTTATATTTTGTATTAGTAAGAATAAAAATAAATAAACTAAATCACAGATATTCATAAAAGTTTTTTTCAAAAATGTTAAAAATTAAAGAGCAAGCCACTGAGACATTGTTTTGTGTATTAATATAAGACTCTAGAAACTGATAAACTTTTATTAAAAACTAACTTCTCAATTAAATGACATTGTGTAACAAAAATTACCTCAGTGTCAACTAGCGACATCTGGTGAGCAGAAAATTATTAGTCCTCATTGTCATCATAATTAGAGACCCTTACAAATTCACTGCTGAAAAATTTCAGGCTGTTACCTTTTAGAATTCTCCACCAATCTCTTATATGTGTTTTCTGTTTCCCTCATCTCGTTCAGCTTGGCGACTAGAGTGTCGTTGCAAAGTATAGCTCTTGACAACCCGAGAGCGTCGGCCGTCCCAGACGACATGTTCTCAACGAGTCTATGTTTCATTTTCTTCATAATTATATCTAAAGATTTCCCCTGCTTTGGATCCGCGTGAAGTTTGTTATAGTTGATGGTGACATCGTTCTGTAATGTGATATTTAAATCCACTGATAAAACTGGAAAAGAGGAATTCCATCTTAGTCCTCACGGGTGACAACGCATCTGCATTTTGATTCTATATTGGGGATAGATGTGAATGTCTATGGGTCACAGCAACCACTTACCATCAGGTGGACTGTGTGCTCGTTTGTCACATTATGCTATAAAAAAGGGCAAGTGTCCGTTGAGCCTGGCCGCTGCGCCGTGAGTAATATTTAGTCTGAAGGGCATTATATGTACACATATTGTAATATACTTTTATTAAGGTGTTCCAAATCAATATATATATATATTTAATCAGAATCATCAAAATCATGCTAGACAGTTGGTTCATTTTATACTTAGTAGTCCGTCTGGGACGTTAGTAGAGAGTACAAATGTTGTGATATAGACTGTATATTAACAGGCTGCGAGGCATTCTATCTTGATATCATTAGAGGTGACGACGCCTCTCTAGCCTTATTTGCCTGAAGTTGGCTGCAGGTATTCATGTACTTATAGTAGCCACTACCTAGCCTAATTAACACCAGGTAGACTGTAAGTTCGTTTGTCATTTTAGTTTTATAAAAAAACTAGCGATCCACCCCAGCTTTGCACGGATGATTTCTGAATATAAACAACAAAGCCACCTATCGTAACTACTTACGAATTTAAAACATTCTCTAATCAACTTAATCACACACACAAAATTTCATAAAAATCGGTCCATCCGTTTAGGAGGAGTTCAGTCACATACACACGGACAGAAGAATTATACAATATGTAACAAAAACCCTGTGGTTCCCGTTAAGTACGTTATCAGGATCATTATTCAAACCTATAGAAATACTTTTTTTTAAAAACTCGAACAATATATTTTTTTATTTTATTTAAAAAAAATTGTATGCAAATTGTATGTGGTTTTATTACCTCTGCATTATCTGGGGAGTAAGAGGATTGTCAAAGACCCCGCTTTAGTTAGCTTTAGCATCGGCTAGTGTCACTAAGAGGTAATAAAACCACATAAAATTAAAAAATACTCTTTTTTATAAAATAAAAAAAATATGGTCGAGTTTTTAAAAAAAATATTTCAATAGGTTTGAATACTGATTCTGATAACGTACTTAACGGGAACCACAGGGTTTTTGTTACATGTTGTATAATAAGTACACCTCTATATATATATATATATATATATATATATATATATATATATATATATATATATATATATATATACAAACCTTTTTCTTGAATCATTTAGTCTAATGATGAAAACCGCATCAAAATCCGTTGCGTAGTTTAAACGATCTAAGCGTACAGACGAGAAGCGACTTTGTTTATACTATGTAGAGACAATCAACAAAAGAACTAAAGCTCGAGTTATTCGTGGAAAATAATTAAACAAAATCAACCTTAAAGATTTTAAAAATTATTTAGCTATGATTTGCGTTATACAATAAAATGATGTGTCTTACCTAGTTTGAAGAGCACCTCCCGCCGTATCTCAATTGCGTGTATTATCCCCGTTACCACGAATCCCAGCACCCCTAAACCCCTAACTAACATCACTACACTAGAAAAGACAAACCACCGTCGATAATACGACACGTGTTTCGCCTCTATATGAGACATCCTCAGGTGAAGTATTCTGTTCACTAAGATAGTGTGGGTACACCGGGAGTAGATCGTATTCCAAAAATAAAATAGAATACTATTTAATTCTTATAGTTATTGTAATGAAATACGAATATAAACGATAAATGCAAGTTAGGTAGCAAAGAGAACTTAAATGAAAAATATAAGTTGGTAGGTAAACGTATACGAAAGTAAAATAGACACTATTTTTCATCACTCGAAATGTCGGAGTCATTGCCACCTGTATTTATAATAAGGTACTCAACGTCATCACGTTTTGAATCCGTACTAAAATAGTATTTTTGTTATTGGTTCTCTCAATATTTCATCTTGAGGCACTTCACTGTCCTCCTAAGGATGAAAAAACATTTTCTGTATAGGTAGCAGAGTCAACAAAACCAACCTTTCACTATGGCGTTTCGTTTTAAAGTGCCAAATTTTACTGCGGGTGTACGCCGCACGCGTAGACCCTTGATGTCGCGGCGGCGCCTTTGACAAGATGCGGTACGTGTTAAGGCAGCGCGACACAAAGGCGACCGTACGAGTATATCTAAGCGAACAGACTATAGACTCTGCGGTGGCTGACCGCTAAGATATATCTTCAAACTAGATAAGACACATCATTTTATTTTTTTTATTAAGCAGATATTAGCTAATAAATTTTTAACATCTTTACTATAATGGAATTGCACAACGTAACGTCTAATTCTATTTAAAATCAAGCTTTACAAAAGTTATGCTCCCTGTTAATATTGTCGTAGTCGCACTGCCACAGCAACGGTTCTGCACTGGAAGGTAACTAACGTATATAAGCTAAATTTTACGGGGCTGCAGTAAGGGCGTGATGCGGGTACAGCAACATTCACAAGAAGCTTCGGGCACCAACATACCGTGGCGGCTTGAATCATTTTGGCTACTTCAGCTTTCGTTTTCCCTTTAACGCTCTGTCCATTTACTCCGACCACTTCATCACCGCATTGTAATGTGCCTTCCTGGGCAGCTGGTGTGTTATCGAAAATCTGTAATAACAAAAACGTGGATCTGAAATGAGGTGGCAGTGTAAGAGAGTCCATCACCTTTTTCTATTCCAACGATTATGGGAAATATCAGAATGATCCCATGAACTCCATGACTTTTAACACATGTTGATGTAACTATCTTCTATATACTAGAAGTAAACATAAATTAGTTATCTTTGAAGTAAAAGTGGCAAACGGACACACAATCCACCTGATGGTAAGTGGATGCTATCCGCCCCGAACGGGTTCCCGTCTTGTCATGGCGGGGGACTTAGTAGCCGTGGCTTGGTCAACCATCGTGAACTAAGTAGAACCCACATGACTGCTCTGAGGAGAACGGACGGGCCGAAATGGGCCCTTTCCTAGTGGGCTTGGCGAGACCACTTCGGATGGGTATTGGTAGGCTACGGCGAGAAGAGTGTCCTCTTCCCCTAGCATTGGAGCCGAGATGCAGTCGCGAGGGAAAAGGAGTGTTGGTATTGCGAGGCGCTCTTCGTTGACGGCGGAGCCACAGACCAGATCCACCGCTAGGGTCAGGAAGTCTGGTGCTTCCTTCATTCCTCACACCTTGTGTTCTGGCGAGCCTTACTTGAGAAGGAGAAGGAAAGAAGTTGTTCTCTTCAGAGAAGACGCTGCTATGGAGTGACTGGCACTGGTAGAGCCACTGATGAGTTTGAGAGAATTCCCGTGGCCCTGCCACCATACAGTGAAACTGAAACATCATGGGGTTGTAGTCGATATGAATTCGACATAACATATTCTTGCTCCTGCGGGGCGGGCATGCGTAGGTATTTTCCCATACAAAAAAGTGAATGCTACGGCCCAAAGACATCTACATCTATCATTGTCTAAAAATCAAAATGTTTCTGCTGCTCTTTTCAGGTTCTCATCACTAACAAACTTACCATACAAAACACAGTAACGTTATGCTGCCATGTAACGCTGGTATTTATTTGCAAGGTCCTTCCCGGTCGATCTGAGCCCCATGTAGAAAAATTAAGGTTATCTGGTTCTGCAGTTGCTAATCCATCAGCAAGAAATAGTGGAAGAGGTTCGTAATCAGAAACAGCAACAGCAAACATTTGATGGCTGATAAATAAATAAGAGCAAGTCTTTAAGTCAGGGATTATACCATGCAATATATCCACTTCCCTGTATCATCCAGCAGTGGGAGGGGGGGGGGGGGCGTAAGCGGTGATAGAGGGATTCGATCCATCCATACCATCTGGACGATTGGCGGCTCATTACTGTGCGATTTACAAAAAGTTTTCTGTCTCACACAACTTATGCAATCGACCACCACCAATACCACCACCGATTTTTCCGGACCGATACGACTTAGGGACCTTAAAGAAAAGTGCTCTCTCTTTTTTAAAATGCCGTCAACGTATCTGCAATTCCCCTGGTGTTGCAGTTGTTAATGGGCGGCCGTAGACATTTACTAAAAAAAAAACCCAGGAGATGGGCAGCAGCGCCTTTCTAATAACCAATAAAAAAACTGGTGTTGCCAACCGGCCTGCCATGCGTAGCTACTATAGCAAATATCCTGCCTATGGGGCAATCTATGGGAGGTCTATGTTCAGCAGTGGACCTTAATTAGGCTATAACTGTAACGGTAAGTCTATTACTTTCATCTTACAATTTGTTTGCCTCGTGTTCATACTATAAACTAGCAGTTCACCGCGACTTCGCCCGCATGTAATTTAGGGTTTTAATTATGTTGCGCGGAACCCTAATTCTTTTCCTAAAACATAAGTGGCCTAAGTTACTCCTTATAACATCAGCTATCTGCCAGTGAAAGTCCCGTCGAAATCGGTCTAGCCGCTTCGGAGATTACCCGGAACAAACAGACAGACAGACCGACAGACAGACAGACAAAAATTTTAAAAATTGTGTTTTTGTTATAAGTAGTATATACTTTCATATGCATTTAGTAATAAAAACTGTTATTTTAATATTAAAAACGGACACTTCAATTTTATTTATTTGTATAGATGTGGGAAGTATGACAGGAGCCTCGTCGAACGACGTACTATATACGACTGACGCACTCTGAGCAATATGCAAGTTTCTATATATCATTGGCTAACCATTCCATTATATCCTGATCAGAATTGATAATGTTTATCAATATCTATTGTGTTAGGAGTGAGGGAATAGAGAGTGCACCTGTGCTTGCGCATACACTTAGACACTATAATCCTGTCCTGCGCCGATGGCTAGTCTCCGTTGAGGCTGGCCGCCGTGACTGAATTTCGGTCTGGAGGATATTATAAAATCTATTGTATATTTAATTATAGTGATTAGACTTTGGCTCGTTGATCTAGTGACCGTAAGCACGACATTAGGTCCCAGGTTCGACAGATAGGGAGTCGGGCAAGATATTTGGATTTTCCATTAAGACATTTTCAGTAGCAGCCTGGAGTCAGGAAGTTGGTGCTATTGCAACCACGAGCCTCGGAAACTGCGCTTGATCTCTCTAGTCGTGTCATATTGTCGTCCTATTGAACTATGAGATCGAGGGAATAGAGACTGCAACTGTGCTTGCGCATACTCTCGAGCATTATAATCCTATCTTGCGCAGTTGGCTGGTCTCAATTGAGACTGGCTGCCGTGATCAAATTTGGTCTGGAGAACGTTATTGTAGTAATAATAATAATGTATGTTTTCATACGTGGTAGAGCCAAGCTGCAGCTATATTCATAGTATAGCTGTAGCATGAATGAGTCGGCTCGACCGGGGAAGGACCACGCTCTCACAGAAAACCAGCGTAAAATAGCAGCTTAACACTGCTGTGTTTCGTATGGTGAGTGTAGAGAACCGGAGACCCTTTTTACTGGTAAAGAGGCATTCTTTCTTAGTCCTCAAGGCTGACAAAACATTTGCATTTTGATTCGCAAACCAGGATAGATGTAGATGTCAGTAGCCACTTCCCATCAGGTGGACTTTGTGCTCGTTGTGTTCGTGTGCCTATTTCTATAAAAAAAATGTGTGTTCACTACCTGTACAATGTACAGACATGGGCATAGCGGAGCGCCTCCACCTATACTGATGCCTACTAAATTCTTCTCATCCTTGCTGAGCACTACGCTTCCTGACGTCACCGTCATTCCCCTGAAAGTTTTGTGTAAAAACATTACTTAATGATTTCTTATGTTCAAGCGAAAAAAAAAATATACTTCGAAGGAATATTGAGTCTTCCAACACATATTGGGGCAGCGCGGTGTACACTTCCTTGGCCTAAAACCCCTCAGAACTGAGGAGAGGCCTGTTCCCATGAGTAGGACTTATATAGGCTGTAACTTTACTAATCGAATACTACATATTCTTTTTCTTTATGAGCCTGTAAACGTGCGCTGGCCGACATGGACCTCTCCAGTGTACGAGGAGCTTGTAATCGTCACGCTTGGCGTATTTACGATCGTTGTAATAGACTTCTTGCAACTTTAACGACTACACTATGGCTGCACATTGAATAAAACTATTTTCATGCATTTGCAAGCGTTTAAGCGTTTTCTTTTTAATGACTAAAGTAAAAGTTATAAAATAAAAATTTATTAACTGTGCAAAATTGAACTAAATAAATCCTGGTGTTAGTTTATAGTCGAAAAAAAAACTCTTCTTATTTGAATTTAAATTTGACATTTTCCACATGAATTATAACTTATTATTCTATAATAATTTATTATTGTTAATGAGGACAAAATAACAGGAAAAATAAGTCACCATGTTCATCAGTAACGTAGTTTCAGTAATAATACTGACAGGGTGTTGCTTGGAAAGTTCCACCGGCCTAGTCCAATGTGTTGGGATCGTAGACTTCATATACCTTCGAAATATAGCACACTTCGGTTTTCTCAACATTACATATAAACATACAAGATCAATGTATATATATATCTTTATATATATACATTGATATATATATATATATATATATATATATATATATATATATAATAGTTATATATATATCTTTATATATAAAAACTAGACGTGCCCCGCGACTTCGCCCGTGTGGAATTTACTACGATTTCATGGATATCAATTTTTTTTGCGCAGAACCCTAATTTTGTTTTTGAGTAATGTTACCATCTTTTTTTAAATAAAACTAACTTTTTAAAAAACTAACTCTTTTTTTTAAATAAACTAACCAGCACCCGTGGTTACGGGGATCCCCCGTGACCACGGGTGCTGGAAAGCACCCGAAACGTCGGGAATATAAAAATAAGTTAAAAATAAGTTAATATACGCGATAAAATCCGTAAAATTAGTTTTATTTAAAAATGTGTAGTGTTCGCGTAAATATAAGAAATGTTACCATCTTATAAATATTGACATTAATATTTATACGATACTAACGTTATTTATTATTTTTACCTTCCCGGAACCCCTCCACTAACACATTTTATGGTATGGTATTAAAGTTCAAATTGACTTTTAAGTATTCTTACGAATCTTTTGAATATTGAAAAGTGTTGTTTTTAGACTTTTTCAGGCAATTTTTTTAAATTTTTCTCTCCATATGAACCATCTTCGTACTTCAATGAATATTATAAAAAACGAATTAGCGAAATCGGTTCAGCTGCTTTCGAGATTTGCGCCTAGCAACACATTCAGCGATTCATTTTTATATTATAGATTACGTGTCACATTGTTTGTCCGCGATGAACTCTTAAACTACTGATTTCAATGAAATGTTTCACAATGTAGGCAGTTTGGTCAACTTGAGAGATAGGACAAGTTTTATCCCGATAAGTGACCCTCAATTTTTTTATTCGGAATTTAATGATTTTTTTAGGACACATGGTTGTCGGAAAGGGCAGAACAACAACAACAACAAGTCTGCCTGGCTATATATATATATTGATCTTGTATGTTTATATGTAATATTTATAATCATGTGTTTGACATATCGCTATGTAATTTTTTTTATAAAATTTACGAGCATTATTTATCAATAAAACAGTACTGTAAATTAAATTCTACATGTTTAGCTTAAGACACAATTACCTAATACCTTTTTCGTATTTAAACATCTTCAATATCGTATTTGAAAGGTAAAAAAAAGATATTCTTGATGGTGTAATGTTTTTATTTATGTTTTTTTAGCTCTACTCAACACTACAAATACACAAAAATGAAGCTGAAAAGAGTGTAAACTGGATTTTAAAACAACAACACATTTTAACTCTAACATTAATCGACTCCATAAATATATTTTTTTTATTTACATTGTGTCACTTAAGAACAATAAAACAACAAATAAATATAGACGGAACGCTGCTTATATTTCAAGATACGCCGAAACGAAACTTCATGACACGTACTCACCACTCACAGACAAAACTTTCTTCTTTCTTTCTTTAACAGCCCTTGAAACACACATCGCATATGTTGTGCGCGTCCAGCATTGTACTAAACCATATAATTCGTTGCAAATAAGTTTAGATACATACTGTTATATAAGGGTAACAAACAAGCACACAGTCCACCTGACGGTAAGTGGATCCTGTGGCCCATAAACTGAGACATTTATTATTAAAAATATTAATAATATACTAATGTAAATAATATACGCATTCGAAACAAACTGTTTGCTTCTTCTTTAGTAATGCGTACGGCAAAGGAGTGGAATGTCTGGCGGCGTCTGTCGTTCCGTCCAATTACAAGTGCCTTCAAGGCAAGAGTTTATAGGCTTTTTCGACCGTCTTCAAAAAAAAAATATAGTCTATATATAGTTTTTGAGTTATTCTTATTAATTTATACTTGTTTTTATTAAATTAAATTTTTATTATTATATACAATATTAAAAAACTATAATAATAATAATAATAAAGAAACTAAAAATAACTTAATCATCATACAGTCTTACTCCCCGTGGTATCGTGGTAACGCCGGCTGCGTTTCCTCGCTGAATGGCTATACTTAGCCTTTGTGCAAGAAAAGAACCAGTCCTCTAATTATACTCGTATATAATTTATATCGAAGTCGTTTGTAGAAAATGTTTAATTTTATTTATTTATGCTAAGACAGTGCGATTTATTATGTAGGACTTCATCACCACCATAGAAAATTCTATGATCACCACTCACCACCAGTCGAGATAGCAGTCAAGTGCTAGCTTATAATAAGTTAAAAAAAACTATGAAATGTATGTATGTAGCCTACATTATAGCAATATACAGTTACACAGCTATAGCTAAAAGGAAAGTGCCTTGAGAAATTTGTGAAATTCGATATCTAGCAGATTCGTAGATATTGGCTTCTAAATGTTTACAAATATTATTTCAAAACTTGCATCAGCTCCTGATATTGGATTAAGTATCTCTCTTTTCTCAAATCGTTGAAGATGCAGTCTGCAGAATCTTGATCTTCCTTTGTCGATCTGAAAGTTTATTTATAATAGTTGTTTTTTAAAGCTAATAAACTGTTGTTAGTAATTTAAACTAATATGTTTTTATATAATTATATATACAAATGAATAAACAAAACTTATGATTTTCTGGCCGATTTTCGATCAAGGTCCAAATAATCTGAAGCTAATGAATTGGTTTTTAAACATATATTTAATCTACCTGTGGTCTAGGTAACGCATAAGATAACCCATATGATATATATGGCATCGACTGTCCTCAATTACTGGAAATGGTTAACATTAATGCTGTTGAGGACTAACCTCGGTCTTAATTCAGCATTATGCAGAATGTTTAGATTGTATAATGATATATCTAGGCTCAATGATTTGGATATTTTTCAATGACAATTTAAATAATTTCAGAAGAAAAATGTTACTTTATTTAGAATCTAAATTTTAGATTCTAAATGATAGGTTTACATTTATTATTTAGATTCTAAATGATAAATGTAAACCTTTTTAATTTCTCATAAATACGCAATTTTGCTACTGTACTATAAAATTTTACGTTATTTAACTTTTCGCAACATTACTCTGTATTAGCTGTGGTTACCTATAACTGGGTGAGCACATATTATGTTTCTCGCAACGCTTGATCTTATTTTTACAAGATTTTATTTTTTTAACTTGCAATGCAACTGTTTGTTCAGGTGGAATCTTGCAACTCAATTTTGAAGCAGATATCTTCAATCGATTGAGCTGAAATTTTGTATGCACGATAAATTTGGATGACAATGCATGGTTAGCTGTGTGACGTCATTCTAAATCCAACATGGCGGAACACCCAAGATGGGGGACTAGTTATTTTTAATGCACTCCTACAATATGGGTATCAAATGAAAGGGCTTGCTTAGTGTAACTCGAAAAATAAAGTGACGTCACTCTAAATCCAATTTGGCGGACTTCTAAAGATGGCGGACTAAGTTTTTTTTGCTTTCCTACAATATAGGTATCAAATGAAAGGACTTGCAGAGAATACGAATGCGAGTTAACCAAAAATAAGATGATGATCATAAACTCGGTTGCTCCAATCCGTCTCAAAATTTTGGTGTACTGGGGTTTTTGCAGTCCTCGATAATGATATTGAGATCGAATTGTTCGAGTCTGTAGCATCGGTCGGTTAAATTTGACTTAGGATTCAACAGCATTGGTTTGCAATCTATCTAGGAGAAGGGTAACTCCAAAATCAAACCTGGAACTGTGTTTCGTAAGGTACAAGGAAGCTTCAAGCTGAAATAAGTAGTGCATTCCTCCAAACATCCGAGGCCAAGGTGAGGCCGTGCCGAGGGCTGAGTGGCATCAGGGTGTAACATGACGTCAATCCGTCTGAAATGTTGGTGTACTGGGGTTTTAGAGTACTCGAATATGATATTGAGGTCGAATTGCTCGAGTCTGTAGCATTGGTTGGTAAACTTTGACTGTCCAAAGGTCTGATGAATGGTGCCATTGCACATATTACAGAAATCATATGGTCCTGCTTCCAGAGAGCACAAATGTATGAAACTGACATACCATCCGTCCGTACAAACTTCGGTAAAGACGTCGTTCATCTCATTAAACCCAAGAATGTACAATTTCCAGCAAAATATAGTCACGGCACTGCAGAACGAAGAATGCTGCCAATTATATTATGTTGGGCTTGCACAGTACACAAAATGCAGGGTAGTACTGTCAACCATGCCGTTGTATACTTAGGGTCGAAGCTCTTCGCTGCTGGTCAAGCATACGTGGCCTTAAGTAGGGTAAAATCAAAGATGTTTTATAGGCTCAGATACCGTGTACGCGCGCCTAAAACGATTCAATTTCAAAGGCGCCAATATTGGTGTATTCGTTCGATCGTACCAGCATTACGCCAGCGACGTTCACTGCGAACATATTTCACGCACCGGTGTTTTTAATTTCGCAAAATGACTGTTTGTGCTGTGAAATCATGTAAAAATTACTCTTGGAAAAAATATAAGGATAAGAACATCACTTTTCATAAGTAACTATACAATTTTATGGTGTATTTCTTAGTAAAAGAATACGAAAGCTAAACGTCAATATTAAGTAATAATACTGCGCAATAATATTCGAGTGTTGCCTAGTCTATGAAATGTTTTTACCATTTTTTAATGTCATGATCAATCGCAAAGGTTATCTGTATAGGGGTTTTAAACGGTCTAATTTTACAAATTTTACCCAACCTATAGAATTAAACCGTTTTAAGGCTTAGGGTTGAACTACATCTGGCAGCATGGAATCGCACTTTATTGAGCTTCTTTCCTTTTTGGTCACTGAGAACCGTTATTTACTAGAGCGAGAAAATGAGCGCGAGTGTATAGTTCCACCGTCAAAAAGCAGATTTTAAACCGGTTTCAAAGGTTTATCTACCATTCTTGACAATCCATACTAATATAATAATATAAATGTGAAAGTGTGATTTTTTGCTTATTTGTTTTTGTCCTTCCTTGACTCAGCAACGGCACGGAGCAATTTAAAAAAATTAAACATTTGCTATCTCTTGGCCGAAGTTTACGCTTAACCAAACTTACTTTTTTCGTCATTTTACTTAGGATTGAAAAATAATTAGTCATTCATTATTTTTTGCTTTAAAAAGCGGCAATATTTTGTGTTCTACAGTACAAAAGTGTAGTACTCTGTATATATTTAAATAGATTATAAATATATGTTACGTACATAAATATCTACTGTGCTTTTTTATTTATTTTTAACTGTTACATTAATTATAGGTTTTATTACATATCTTCAATATTTTAGTGCGATGTTCGTACCTACATAAAACACACATAACCAACCATATCCCCATACACACACGCACACAAATGCACACGCCTCGCACACACATTTTATACTCGTAGAATCAATAGGTACGTCAATATGAATGAAATATAAAATCTCCCACATTTTTTGGGTAATCGATTCGTACTGTTATTACCGAAGTCATGCACATTAACGCAGCCATGGTACGTAAGATTTGCGCGTCACTTGGTACTCACGCACACATGAATCATAGACTGGCGTCACTATGAACGGTGTGGTTTGTTAGCAACACGGTATCAGGACCTATAAAATGTCTTTGGGTAAAATCATTAGAAGGTCTCCTTATTGAAGAGCTAGACTGTTCGAAATTAACCGACAAACGACCTTGCAACAATAATGCGTTGAATGAGACGATCAGACTGAGAAACCTGTCCAGTGATAACTAAACAGTAAAAAATAAATTAAAAGTAAAAAAAACTTTTTTAAATGAAGCTTTTATTTAAATGCGCTAAAAATAATAAAGTAAACTTTTCCTTTAAAACTTTTACTATCTTTTACTATACTTTTATATCATATAAATTGTGTAATGACGTTATAAGTTGATAGTAAAAGTTTTAAAGAAAAAGTGTATTTTATTCCTTTTAGCGCATTTAAATAAAAGCTTGTTTTAAAAAAAAGTTTTTTTTTTTACATTTAATTTATTAGTTTTTGTGTACCATCTGTCGGTGACTCTTATAAATAAAAAAGAAATGATATGTGATTTTGACTGCAACTAGGTTTAGTGGTTGTTAACATGACTGTTGATCATGTCTTAGGTTCGAATCTCAATTCGGGTCGAAAATCAGTTATGGGGGTTTTTATGTCAAGAAACATTTTCAGTAGCAGCCCAAAGTTAGGAAGTTGGCTGTGTTTCAATCCCGTGCCTTGAAAAGCACGTAAAGCCGTTGGTCCTGCGTCGGATCTCTCCGGTCGAGAAAAATTACCGTCCCATTTGACTATGAGAGTGAGGGAACAAGGTGTATCTGTGCTTGACCTTGGACTTGAAACCAATAATTTATATCTTATCCGAAATTCCTGCTTAGTTTTGATAGGTACTCAAATTGGCCACGTGGTCTTCAATCATGGTGAAATTATACGTGAAAATAGAATTCGTACCTTTTCTTAGAAATTATTATTAAAGGAGGACTATAAAACTTATATAGTTCGAAAGGTACTGTGTTATTGATATGCAGAATAAATATTACGTAAGTATATTGCCGTAAAGGCAGGTAAAATAAAGTGAACATACATACGCATAATTTTTTCGTACAAGACGCTTTCACCAATTAAGTGGTCGGATCGAATTTCGAGCATACGCGATACTTTTAAAAATAAATAAGCAAAGGTGTTAATATCATAAAGCCTTATTAAGTGATATTTATGTTACAAAAAATATTTATAAATATTATAGTATACTTACTCTTCAATTATGTTGAGGTTCTCAGAGGTTGGAGCATCCAGAACTTCGACTGAAGCACTAATCAAATTTTGTTTTTAAACATTTAACAAAGAAAAATCTAACCAAAATTCTTTCATATAAAGTAAACAGAAATTTTTAAACTCACCTCTCATCCAAAGAAAGTAATAGTTTATTTTTATCTTTTCTGGTGGCTCGGCTAAATAAAATAAAAAATAAATTAAAATATAAAAAATAAATTGGGATATTTTCTGCACGTTGTACTTCACACAACACAATAATTTGTGCCTATTGCTATATGTAACTAAGATATACAATAAATTCCAAATAACATGTCATGGTATTTAATAATACACGAATATTATATTTTTAAAACTAAAAATTAAAGACTCCTCTTCTCTATGAAATAGGAGAGCGAGTATGCAGGAGACTTATACGTGGTAGAGTCACGGTTCGGCATGTACTCTGTTTCCTCAGTCATGCCTCAGCACTAACGCCACGCTCACATGGAATCCTAGCATGAAATAGCAGCATAAAGTTGCTGCGGCATTTCCTATGCGAATGTCTAGAACTGGAGAGCCATTTTAATGCTAGTGAGGCATTCCTTCTTAGCCCTCGGGGATAAAATCTCGTCTGCATTTTGATTCTAATTTAAGTTAGATGTTCGTTTCTATGAGTCATAGCATTCACAGGTTATCAGGTGGAATGTATGATTGTATGTCGATCTTTACTTTTTTTATAGGATAAGGTGACAAACGAGCATACAGTCTACCTGATGGTAAGTGCTTGCTGTGACCCATAGATATCTACATCTATCCTCAATAAAGAATCAAAATGCAGACGCATTGTCACCCGTGAGGACTAAGATGGAATGCCTCTTTTCTAGTAAAAAGGGTCGCCGGTTCTCACCATACGAAACACAGCAGTGTTAAGCTGCTATTTTACGCTGGTATTCTGTGAGAGCGTGGTCCTTCCTCGGTCGAGCCGACCCATTTGTGCTACAACTATACTACTAATATAGCTGCAGCATGGTTCTACCACGTATAAAAACTTCACTACCACTTCTACATAAAACATTTATTACAAGCTATCTACTGTTTATTAATTACTTTTAAAGAATATTAATGTTCGTTACCGGTTTTCTGCCGACTTTAAAAAGGGGACGGTACTCAATTCGACTGTATGTTTTTTACTGGGTGAATCGATTTCGATGATTCTTTTTTTATTTGCAAGCTGGTGCTTCACTTGTGGTCCCATATAATTTGATTAAGATCTGACTAATAGTTTTTGAGTTTCTTAATATTTTATATTGAAGTCGGTTGTACAAAATTTTAAATTTTAAATTATTGTGTTTAATGGTCACTACTGCTAAGTATTTTTATAATTTATCTAAGAATCTAATAACATTACACTATAATCGTGGTTGACTATTACCAAATCATATTTTTAATTTTTTTTGATGAAAATATTACTTTATGTTATAGGTCCATGTGTTTAGTGGATACATGCGTGGAGATACTGTTTTAATATTTAACTAAGCTAATGATATTAACTATTAACTTCTGCTATAATTATTGATTAGTATTATGGAGTAACTACAGCCTATTTTTTTTTAATAATGTAATATTACTGTACAAAATAGGTCGTATTTACATTTTATCTTCGAACACGCTTTGCGTCAAAATACTGGATAGTTGCGGATACAGTCTTGGTTCAATGGAGTAAATATTATTATTCTGCCACATTTTTTTTTCACAAAAAAACCACAGTAACAGCACTAAATAAGTCTAAAACCTTTACTGTTTTGCACACAAACAATAGATAACTCTGCAACATGAAGGGAAGGATGTTACGTTGAAATTTGATAAGCAAAATAGTCGATAAGAAAACAGAATACAAAATGGTATAAATGACTAACTTACATTTTATCCTCCTCGAAAAAGAAGTCGTCATCGAATTCCTGCATCATTTTTAGTTATTTAGCTATAATAAACTTTATAAAATAAAACATTCAATGTGTCAACTTCCTTGAGATTATATTTGTCAAAAATATTGATTTTTCTTAATTTGTATTTAGGTGGGAGGTCACGTCGGTAAAGTAGCACGCATGCTCTATTGGCTCTTTCTAAAGCAACCAATAGGAATGAAGATACCTAGCTTAACAAGTGGTCGAGGCTTGAGGGTTGAATTTTCTGCAACAAAGCGGCCCGCAGCGTTCCGTTCCGTTCCGTTATAGTACCGGGTAATACGAGAGTTAGCAACGTTTTTGAGAGAGAATTTTTAGTATTGCTGGTAATTAGATAATATACACAGAACACTAAAAATGTTAACATTAATTTGCTAAGATCCGCGTAAAAAAATTATGTCTTACTTGGTTTGAAGAGCACCTCTCTCTCTCCCTCAAATGCGTGCACTATCACCATCACCACTAATCTCAACAAAACTAACCCCAACACCATTAACCTAGGAAAGACACCACCGTCGATAATACCATACGTGTTTCGTATCTAAAAGAGGTTTGGCTGAGGTAAGGGAAACTGAGATCTGCCGCCAGGCAAAGTGATCAACTTAAGGCGCAGGTTGAGCAAAATGTCGCGCTAGTCGTTATTTGGGCGGTTTTTAGAAGCTATCTACTTTTTATTTAAAAGATATATCAACAAATAAAAAACACATTATATTTCTACATAATCTTGATTCCATAAAAGCTATATCCAATTTTTTTTTAAAGGAATAAATATTAATATAATCTCCTTACAACGAAACCACATAAATGTGAAATTATTATTGATAACATGCATCTCCTCGTAAAGTAAGTATTATTTTATTTTGCGATTTACACCAATGGATAGGCAATTTATTAATGAACATTTCTATAGTAAATTTTTTTTCAAAAGACCAAAATTTGATTTTATTAAGAAATTATTTTAAAATCTGGGCATATTTACTGCTCACGGGCTTGCTGAAGTCAGTGAGCGCTGAGCTCTTCGACGTGAAGCCTGTGTTGTTAGAGCGTCGACCAACGCATACGCCACGTCATATGAGTCGATAATATTATTACTTATTAGGTTATTTATAGGTAGTATTATTTGTTTGTTTTGGGTATAATTTTTCGTATTAGTTATACATATATTTGTTGTGTTTTTTACTGCGCGATGAAGCTTTTTGCGTGTATTTTCTTTGAAGTAAATGCAAATAAAAAAATGAAGCACCATTAGCATGTAAGGTTCGAATCCATAATTAAAATTTCGACAAATATTATAATTTACACTATAAAAGGCTAATTCAATATTATCACCGAACCACAATATCTTATCAGGTATAGTACTGCTTCGTTGGTCTAGTGGTTGTAGTAGTGCGACATGAGGTCCCGGGTTCGAATCCTGGGTCGGGCCAAAAAGTCAGTTATGAGTTTTTCATTTATGTTCTAAGTTATAATTAGTATTACTAAGTTATAGTTTTTTGCTAAAATATAGTATATTATTTATTGCTTGTTTTTTCTTCTTTTTTAAAAAATAATTGAGCTATACTTATAATTCGGTAAAAAGTACTAATATACTTACTTTTTACTATAAACTAAAAAAATTTAAAACTAAATTTAACTAAAAAGACTAAACTGACCATTTATTTTTTAACTCATAACAGGACATGGGTTTATTTATACTCTAAAAACTATAACTTTATACAATAAGTGTTCACTATAAAATTATATTCGGTATAGACGGTAATTATTAAATGCAACATATTTTTTTAAATTATTAATTACATTTGTCAGTGGATTAAATTTGCTTTAATAAAGTTGGTGATGATTTTAAATAAGAATAAAATTCTGCTCAAGTTTTTTATTGTTATCTTTGTTAACAACATCGCCTTTAGAACTCTGGAACCGTAAGTGTTTCTTTCAGACGTCCACAATTTATGCAAAATAAAAAAATACTCTTTCTACCGGAGCATTCGTACCAGGTAGACATAAAATATATTCGATTAAAAAAAAATTATGTTGAAGATTGTTGACTTTTAATACTTCCATCCAACTAGTTACATGACAATTTTGTGTCCCGGAGCTTTGTTTGGGGACAATGGGACAGGAGACCGAGAAAAGGGACAGTCCCGTTCAAAACGGGACGTATGGTCACTTTAGCTATAACTCGGCGACCATGAAGCAAATACAAAGTTAGTCTTTGTATTAGCTTCATGGTGGCGCAGTGGCTTAGCAATCAGTTGTTGCGCTGGGGGCCGCGGGTTCGAATCCCGCATGGAACAAGTATTTGTATGGCCTACAAATAATTGTTCTGGGTCTGGATGTTTGTCTTTGTGCAATTTATGTTTGTAAACTGCCTCCACGACACAGGAGAAAATCCTAGTGTGGGGGTAACGTTTTTTTACAACTGAAATTGAAAGATTGAACCCTTATACTTCTTGTTGATTTTTGTATTACCTTTATTAAAGTTACCCTTATGTATAAATAAATATAATTACGTATGTAGAAATAAAATTGATTTTCATCCTCATCGATCATTGGGGTGAGGATAATATCTGCCAGCATAAGTTCAAAAATTAGTAGGTAACTTTTCAATACGTGACACGTAAAAATTAACAATAATCAAAATCACATATGCGAAACATCCTATTTATTTGTTTATTTTTTATTGCACCAAATATTTGTACAAAAGCCGAGCTATCTATTTATTTACCTATAGTGAATAGGTATCTTTTAAACTCACAATTTTCAATGCTTCAGTTTTAATATATAATTAATTATAAAATTTCATAATTAGATAATATATGAAAATACATAATTCTAATATAATGCAACTAATATATACAGAATAAAAAAATTAAAATACATTTATCTTTGTACGCTATGTGTATTTCCATAAAATAGTTTATTGATGTTGAAAAAATAATACTACTTTCGTACAATAGGTGGCGTCTTACATATTTCTTCCGGCGAGCCGCTCGCTACAATATATTAATATTGTAGCAAGCGGTCAAATGCTCAAGGTCGTTCGCATGGAGTAGGAGCGGCCAACGTCCCGTATTGTAGTAAAGAAATAATCTATATATACACCGCTATAGACGCATTATTACGAGAAATAAACTCTAGGATAAGTAATCCCTAAGTGCATATTATTTATCCTAGGGATGCGGTACAGATGCGGCGGTACGTATGGCACCTGGAAGTGGTTGCGTTTAGCTGTGCGCATTCTCTTTGTAAAGGCCGGCAAGGCACCTGTGATTCCTCTGGCGTTACGCTTGTTTATGTGTGGCGGTCGAAACTTACATCAGGTGAGCTGCATGCTCGTTTGACACCTATTCTATAAAAATGTAAAATTTCGCATAATTAAATCATTTTAAGACAAAATTTTCTTTTTCATAATTGCTTAAAAATTATAGTTATATATTATTTGTACCTATATAAATTTATAGTTGCCACGCAATTTTGAGATTGCTAACATCGTGCCTGATACAATTTCAATAATAAAGAAATGTTTTAAAATAATTTTAATACAGCTGAAATTTCAAATGACATACTTAGTTCTGTAATTAAAAAAAACAATTTGCCAGACTGGAATTCAGTTGCGGTGAGAATAAGTGAGTTAGAAAAGAACGGCAGCTAATTCGTTGGCTAGGATTTGTTCGTTATCAGCAAGAAGGTTGTATATGGCTAATTGATAAACTTCCGATTCTTTTATTAATTTTATATTCTTCCAATAAATAATTCCGTAGTCTCTGCCTACCCCTCTGAGTCCAGACATGAGAATTTATAGATATGGTATGGTTATGGATTGTAGAATTATATGATTTAACATTTCAACTATACTAAAATGGTTAGAAAATAAGTCTTTTTATTGTTATTGTAACTGGTGAGATGTTGCAAGAAGCAACGATTTGTCTGGCATAAATGTATATTGCTATACATAAAAAGTAATGATAAAAAGAAATTATTATCATAAAATGATTTAAAGATTGTGAACGAAAATTATACCAGACCCCATTCCCAATTTGCAATAAGTAAGGAAACATATGAAAACCAGCCGTAATAAAAAATCATTCTTTTGTAACGTTGCTAGCTCTTGTACTATTGTACATTGGATGATAACTTAAGCAGTGTGAAGTTCTCCATAGAATCTATATTTTCCATTTGCATTCATATTTCTTTTTACATGGAGAAATGCATACGCCTCTTGGGGGCGATGACGTGTTATGTCGGACTTGCAGCGACAAAACCCCAAGGGGTTCCACCTTCGGCGAATATTGGCAGAGCCACGGGAACTCTTTCGCAAAGATCCCCATCAGCGCCGACCACCCCGTGGCAGCCCCTTCTCGGGAAGGATTTCTCCTCTCCTTCTCCTTCTTAGATAAGGAACACCAGGAACAAAAGCCGCGGTTTCCTGCGCGGCCTCTAATTTCACCTGCGTTGCCGCATTAATGAAAATGGAACATAATATATTCATGTGGTGCAATTTTGTTTTATGTAGCTTCAAATAAAGATGTTTCTTTCTTTCATCTCCAGGTTTGTTTCCCTCTGTCGCCTCTTATAGCTCCCACACAATATGGGGCAGTAGATATTTTTATAGAATAAGGGTGACAAAGGAGTACACAGTCCACCTGATGGTAAGTGGATGATGTAGCCCGTACACATTTATATTTATCCTCAATTAAGAATCAAAATACAGATGCGTTGTCATCCCCGATCACTGAGATGGAATGCCTCGTTTCCAGTAAAAAGGGTCTCCGGTTCTCTACACTCACCATACGAAACACAGCAGCATTAAGCTGCTATTATACGCTGGTATTCTGTGAGAGCGTGGTCCTACCCCGGTCGAGCCGACCCATTCGTGGTGCAACCACAATATAGCTGCAGCATGGCTCTACCACGTGCAAAATAGGATATTCATACACCGCCACTAGCTTTGTTCTTCTAGAAATATGTGGCTGTGTAGTAATCTAGAATTAATCATAAAAAAA